TGAACAAGAATGCTGATGCATCCTTTTGTGTACATTTATTATACCTGATTAAAAATAAAAAGCAAATGGTGTGTTAGATTCTTAACTGCTCTCTCTCCTCTTTTCCAAGGACTTTGCCAAAACTAGCTTGACATTTTGTATCTTTTTTCTAAAGTAGTTCCCTGGTTTAGATGCTGGGTTTTTCTCACAGTATTCCCGAGTCTTTTCGCTGTTACGTTTTATACTTAAAATAAACCTGAAAATGCTCAAATTCAAAAAGTGACAAGGAAAAGACGTTTAAACAACTGTTGCTATGCTGTTGGCATGTGTGGCCAGATAGCAGACTGTTTCTGTTTTCTTTGCAAAATACCCTCTCTTCTTAGTCTCTGGGAATTTTAAGTGTGACTTCCTGAGGCAGGGTGGGTTGCTGCAATACCACACCCCTGCGGCTGGCCTGCTCCTGCCACCCCCCTCCTCCCGCCCGCCATTTTGCTGCGTACTCCCATTACCACCCTTCTTACTTGCACCGGTTCTGGTGCTGGTTGCGCCCTTCTGTGGGGCAGTTCCACTCACTGAAGCAGCAGGTTTGGCTCGTAGTGGAGAGGCAGAGGAAGACCAACAGTATCAGATCTGATAGGAGAAAAAGGCAGGGCCAGGAGCTGGGGATGGGGAGAAATAAGTCCTCTCCTCCGGCTGTTGCATTACGTCAGCTGCTTCTGAAAATGTGACAGTAACTTCATACTCTTAACGTTCAGCACTGTTTCCTTCCACCCTGGCCAAAGATCCCTGTCTCCCCCCACCTTATGCTCTGGCTGCTGTGCTTGTTGGGCCCTTCCTTCAGGTATTTTAGCTTCATAACCCTGCAGAAAAGCAGCCAAACAAAAGTAAGTTGCCAAGGTAAATTTAAGGCACACTGATAGATGGCTGGTGTGTAGAGTTCTTGTGTGTTTAACCTTTTCATGTTGGTGAAGTTGGTTTAATGGCTGACTCAAGTAAATGTTCCTTCCATTGAGAGGGGTGATTATTGCTTGTCTTGAGGGTTTTGGTAGTACCAGGTTGAAGAGAGGACTGCTGCCCAGTTGCTGACACTTCCTTTCCTGTTATCAAAGGATTTTTCTAAGAAGAGATGCAGTCCGTTCTGACAATGGGCTTGAATTTCTCCTGCAGCAACTCTTTTTTTCTTTTTTTTTTCCTTCTTTAAAAAAAACCTCAAGAACTCCTGATGTAGTGATGTTAGGGCTAGGTGTGGACTCTGCTAGGCCCCTGAGGGCTGTCAATATCGCAGAGCTCTGAAGTGGGGAAGAAAGGCTGGCACAGAAACAACTGATAGTCTTACAGCAGTTGACTTTTCGGGCACTGTGCCCTACCCCGCACTATACTGCAATCTCTCTGATTGATAGCAATATGGAAAGAGAAGATGAAGGCTATCTGCTACTGGCCAGGCTAGGAAAGGAATTCTAGCTTTTCATGTAAAATTAATAAGCACAATATATCTCCCAAGCATTTGTTAAAATTTCCTCTCTTTTTAAAGTGGTATCTGTTACATTCACACAATCAGCTGTAAAAGGACTGCATGACGTACTGTTTGTATTGGCCACAACTGGTACCCGCACATAGCAGCGATTTTGTAAATATTTTGGAAAAACGTGATTGGGAGTTAAAAAACGAAGACGGGAATGTAGAATGGCATGTGGTTGTCCAATTGCACATGAAGTAGCCGACGTTTGTTTAAACGCATGTAACTGCACTTCACTGAAGCCTATTTTATAAAGCAAACAATTCAAGGAAGTTAGAAAGTAGCAAAATTGGCAAAAATGCTATATCCTTAAAATCTGGATGGAGAAATTTGTTTTGAAATGGGCTGATTCTTCAACTGGCAGAAATTAGAGCCGCTTCTAAAAGGAGAAGTGTTGGCTTACTTCCCCCTGTTGCCCCAATTTCCCTTTTGCTGTGGTAGGGTATCTGACCTGTGTGTATGTTTACTTTGTTTCTCGTTACACCTCTGCAAAGTATTAGATTTCCCTGTCCAGCTGGGACAGTTCAAACCCAGAGGTATGTTTTACGGGATAAAAATGAATAGCTACTGGTTACTGCTTCTCACACTGAAGGAGTCCTTCATCACTGCCCTTTTTTCTCCTCTGCTCCAGTTGCTGTCTTGTCTATGTTGTTACTAGTGTGGTCTTAACATCTGTGGCAGCAAATTAATGAAACTGAGATTTCCAAGAAATCTTCTGTCTTGCTGAGATTTCATTTTCCTTCAGCTCTACATGGGATTTAGGGTACAGGTGCCCCGTGTGAATTTTGAAGGAGCTCTCTTGCAGCTGAAGAAAGTGCAAAGCAAATCCCAGTTTGAATGTAGGAAGAAGGAAAGCAAAGTAGTTTCTTGGGTAAAACTAAACCCACAACAGTTTCTAAGTCCATTTCAAAAGACTTCTCCTATTACATGCTTCTCTGGAACCAGGCAGTTATTCCTAGCTGCTCTTTCACTTTGTTTCTTTCCTGAGATCTGTCTTACGTTTTAGCCTATAGGCTTATCTGTTTCCTGCCAGCTTACACCTTCATCAGGTGGCTTTGGCAAGGTGGAAAGGGGTGTTTTGAGCTGTCATCTATTTCTGAAACCAAAACACAATCTGCCAAAGCACACTGATGCTTACAGTCTGTCATGACTACAAGTTCGGGTGTGTAACTCCTGCTGTTTTAAGCACCGCAGGTTATTTGCCATACTTTAGCCATGATAATAATTTATTAATAAATGAGAAAGAGCAAAACAGGATACATGATTCAAAAATATGATGATGACAGTAATTGCTATTACAGATTTCTCTTTGTGCCTGTTCAATGGTTTCAACAGAAATTTTATCTTATAGAGATCTTTTGATGGAACTGCAGCATTTTATTGCGCAAATTGGGCAGTGTTATACAGACTGAAGGAGTTTAAAAGTGTGCAGAAAAAACGTGTTGCAAAGTTCCACTATGAATAACTTGAAACAGTTCCCAAAGGAAAGTCATCTTAAATATTCTTAAGTCAAAGAAAACATTTAAATCAGTTACTCAGAAGGAAATTTTCAAGAACCTCTCTTGAGAATAGACACATTACATTGCCATAATTAAATCATTGCAATAATTAAATCTCTCCACAGTCCTGCCACTATTAGTTCATTTAGCATTGAGTATCAAGCCTTTTATTGCCTGTCATGCAAAATGACCTAGTGATCCTCCGGTAGCTGCCTCCTTCCATGGTACAGAGGAAATAGATTGTAAGGCTTGGGCTCACACAGTCCTGGAACCTCTGAAAAAGTGATTGTCCTCTGCATCTTAATTGGTTCTAGTGGTCTGCTGAAAGGTCTTTTGGTTAGTGGTCTATTAAAAGGTTCTTTGGTTAGGGAGGAGCATGGAGAATACCATGAGGCTAGTCGCTCGGGGTTTTTTTTGAACCCAGAGAGGACTTTAGCAAATTAGGCAGGCTT